CAAACTAAGAAGACTGTGTTTTAAATTAAGCAATAATAGTGTCCTTGTTCTAATGAAGCAGTATCTCACATTTCCTGGGACAAAGTTGCATAGCTAGAGGCAGAATCTTTAATCCTTGAGGAAATGAATTATTGCCAAAGACAATGAAGCAAAGCTGCTATTGTCTTTAGAGTTCTAAAAGTGACCCAATATTTAGAACTTTTGGTTGAAGTAGTTCTGCAGAAGTATGTTAGCTCTGTTTGGGGGGGCCTTGATGGTAGGAACCAGGAGTGTGGCTTATTTAAAGAAGTTTTAAATAACTTGTGGTTAATAGCATGATAGTGGGGCCTGAATCTTTGCCAAGAATTCTAATCTAGACTCCAATGACCTGAATTTATATTATAAAACCTCAGTAATACCACACTTGTGTAGTTAGCCTTTTACATTCTATTTTACTCTTTCGAATTTTATTTCTTATCTTTAAAGGTGACGTTGTTTTGCAAGTTTTGAGTTTTGTATTTGAAACATGGGTTTCGAGTCTGCTGGACTCCCTGGGCAGTTTTTATGTCAGTATAGCTTCAGAACAGTAGAAGTGATTGTAATCTAAATTAACTTTATTTCAAACCCAGATTCTTACCCGTCCTTGGTACACTTGTTCTTTTGGCCTGGTGTGGGGATAGGCTTCCTACACCCTATTCTGTTAATTCCCACTGCTTCTCTGTGCAGGTCATAATTTATACCCCTTGGTCTCTGTCACTTTGAATATGGTTGTTACTGTAGTTCTGAATTCCTCCATGCATACTGGGAGAATCAGTAACAAGAGCAGCTGCCATCTCTGTTTTTGAAGAGAAAACAGGCTGGTAAGCAGCCTGGCAGCTGCCGCCCCAGCCCTGGGAGCTGCAGTGGGGCCCCGGGCAGTGCCTGGAGAGTGCCTGCTGCTCTCACTGAACCCCGCCCCCCGGACACAGGCACAATGGGAAGAAAGCCGGGATTTGAGCAGAAACTGGATTTTGGTGTGGCCTGAGGGGCCCCTCGGTGTGGACTGCCCCTCCTGGAGCTGTACTCGCTCTGCTAGCCCAGGAGCTCGCTGCGTTTAGAGTGGCTTCGACTGGTGCCTGGGTCCTTATAGGACTTAAATTAGGAAGGAGATGGGTTGCACCAGGGGTGGTGTCATTGTGTGGCTGGGCACAGCTCTGGTTTTGATTCTTTGTTCCTGTCAGCCAGAGCTTCAGCTAGTGGGCTGTGATTAAGGCTGGTTCTGAGCAGAATTAAGTTTATTTCCTGAGCCAGAGAAAGTCTTTTTACCTGGAGGAATAAGACATCTACCAATTGTAGGGTTTGGTTGGGGCTACCGTATTCTGCCTTCTGAAGGGGTCTTCTTACCTTTCCTATGACTGATTTTTATTTAGCTCTGTCCCCCAATTACTGTTTTCCTCATTTTCCTAAAGCGTGGTTGCCAAGAACCAATGCAGCCAGAGCAGGGGTTATCCGCCTCAGTCGATCTGTGTCTGTTCCTCCTCTCTGGCCGACTGTGGGGCCTGAAGCCACAGACAGGATCTGCCAAGGGCCACAGAGAACCCCTGCCTCCCTCCACCCAAAGTGGGCAGAGTGCCAAGAGGGCTCATTTGCCCTCTGTCCAGGCACCCAGGAGGAAGGGTGGTGCTGGGTGCGTGAGCAGGCAGAGCCCGCAGGGAGGCGGTGTGACAGCTCCTGTGTGCTGTCTCCCTGGCGCTGCCTGCTGCTGCCATCCTTCTGAATGGTTGGCTTTCATCTATGGGGGCTGCCACAGGTAGCATGGGAGACTTCCACAAGAGCTTGGCATTTTTATTTTTAGCTCATGTGAAATTGTGTTGCTATAGCCTCTATGACCAGCTAGCAAACTGGAGTTAAATGTCTCTTTGTCACGTGCTTGTTAAAGGCCTGCCTTAGGCATGGAACAAGAGGCACAGGGAAAGATGAAGGGTGCCAAGGAGAGAGACACCCTGCCTGGCTCTGGCAGCCAGGAGAAAAGGGACTGGAGGAAGCGGCCCGCTCTGTAGGGCCGTCATGGAAGTGGAACAATCTCCGCAGCTTTTTAAACAACAGGAAGTACCATCCCCGGCAGCGTACAATGGTCAGCGGAAGCCAGGGGCTCTGCAGGTGTGCATCTCTGGCCCTTTGCTCAAACCCAGGCAGGGCTCCGCAGACCCGGCCACCTGTCCCCAACCCCTGTTGCTGCATCACCGACCCCCACTCCTCCACATCCTCTGGCTCCTTCCCTCTCAGTCTTTGCAGGGGCCGAGCCCCTCACCCAGCCGCCTCTGGCTCCAGTCGCCCCCAGGTGACCCCCTTCCTCGCAGGCAGGTCTTGGCATCCTCCTCGGGACGGCATGCTGTGTGCCATCCTGCCCTCCAGGGACCTCTGCAGCCCTGTGGTTTAAGGACCTGCTTGAGGAGCCGGCTCCCTCAGGCCAGAGGTGGGAAGGGCAGCAGTCTGTATTCATACTAAGAGGTTTTTGAATGTTTGTGGAATGAGTAAGTGAATGAATGGGCAAGCAGCATACACAGGAAATAACAAGCCCAGTACCTGCTTTAGGTAGCTTAGGCCGCCTTGGGTGTGGGTGAGGAGGAGAGGAAGTGGTCCGAGAAGGTACTGTCATGACCTTGGGTCTCCTGGCTGCTCTTTATCGCCTTCCCTCTAGAGCTGGTAACCTCTGTTGGCAGTCTCTTCCTGGACCTTCACCCCACCCGGCTGCAGTAACGCTTTGACTCTGCTTTCATTCCACCTTTCCATATTTTATCTTATATTTGTCAGTAAACAGAACAGTTCTTCTTTCACCGTTTTATTTATGTAGGTTTTGCCCTTTCAGCTAGGTTGTAAATGCCTTAAAATTCTGGGATTATTTCCTAGGAAGCATTCTAAACAAACGGAAAAAGCATTGTTCCAAAGTAATTTTTGTTCTGGCTACACACTAGCTGTGAGATCTGGGGGGCAGAGTAATTATCCTCTTTCCAAAGGCCTCTGTTTTCTCATCTGTAAAGTTAGAGGACTTAAATGCGCACTCTGGTGCTTCTAGCACTCACGTCCTTTGATTCTGTGCTTCTGGCCCCAGCACCTTGCTGATCCCTCCCAGTCCCTGGGACAGGGTTCCATCTGCCAGGCAGTCGAACTTGCTTACAGTCTGTCTAGCCTGGTTCTCCTCTCAGCTACTTGTTGGAGCTCCTGGGATCAGGGCCAACATTAGTGGAATAGATAGGTGTGCAGCAGCCCTTGGGAGACCCCTGCAGCCCTTGGCCTTGCCTCTGTTCTCTGCCAGGGAGTTCCAGGCAGGCACCAAAGATCCCGCCTTGATCCCGCTGGGTCTCCCTTCCCACCGGCTTGTGCTGTTCCATCCCTTTGAATGCAGGGTGGATTCCGAGGCAGAGGCTGACCATGCCATGCCTGCCATCCAGGGATCTGGAAGGAAGGGTGATGCTGGAGACTCATGTTCACACGCCAGCCAGCCCTGTTTGGTCATACTTTGCTTCACTGACTCTCCCTGGGCAGAATCTGTCTCCCCTCTGTGTTTTCTGAGCATATTTTCCTCTTTTTGGATCCACCGCGTCACATTGGTTTAAAAACATATTAAATCCTTTACTGGGATCCCAGCAGAGACAGAGGTGGTAGGGACTGTTGCGTTTGTGGGTTTGGGTTTTGTTTTCCTTTTGCGTCTTTGCGGGCTTCCTGAAGGCCAGGAGTGGCTTGTGTTCTGTGGGGAGTTTGCTGTTCATTCACATTCGTGCCCCAGCCCTTTGCTACCGCTCTAGCCTCCTTTCTCTCTGTCTGTCAGGTATGTTTTCTTTCTCTTTTTCTTTTCCTAGTTGCCCCATCAATCAGGCAGATCCAAAGATGGTGTAAACCTGATGGTGAGTAAAGAGCATTAGCAAAAGGAACCCCACAGAGAAGTGGTGGGTCTCTAAAGATCCCTCCTGGCTGCTAAGTCGTGAGATTTTAAGGATTGTGGCTTGGTGTTAAGGACTCTTACAGGCACCCAGGGAGGTGGGAAGAAGGAGTATTAGGATGTCTAGTACAGAAGTGGCAGCACCAGATCCTGCCGAGATCCTGTGTGTGAGACTGAGTGATGGTGGAGGAGCTTGCTGGGAGGAGTGTGCCCAGAAGTGCAGGAGCAAGGCCCATGCTGCCGAAGAGAGTGATTTGGGCACTGTATTTTGGTCGAAGGTTAGGTTCTAAATCAGTACTGTTAAAAGATACACTGAGGCATATTTTTAAATATGAATTTATTTGAGGAAAAATCTATTTGAATCTGGCACCCCAAACTAGAAGTGTTTGGGGGTGCTCTGCCAACAGGAGTCGGGGGAAAGACTCTTACAGATAAAGTAAGGAAGCAAAGAAAGGAAATTGTTTGGGGCTTTAGTTTAAAATTGACTTCTGTGAATGATTGTCCATAGGGTTTTTGTAACCTTGAGACATTTACAGGTTCAGATTTTTGGCTTATGTAGGCTGCCATGGTATTAAAGCCACATCAGCCTGATGGCTTCCTTGTTTAATTAATTTAAAGGTATATACATATGCTGCAAATCCACAGTATAGTCAAAGTACTCTTGAAATACCTCAGGTTAGAGTGTTAGAGGTTGACATATTACTGCTTGTTACGTTTAATGTGACCATTTTCTGCCCCCAGTGTTTGTTTTGTCTGTTGAGTTCCATATGTCCTTGGCTTAGGTTTAGGGGTCAAGGTTTATAAAAAGTGCCTTTTAAAACTTCAGAGTCATACTCAGCAGAAAGCTGCTGACAGTATGACATGTGTGCATGCTTTTCCCTTTGTTTCAAAGGCCCTTCTTCTTGTGCTTGACCCGGGCAGTTGTGTGTGTGTCTATTGCATGAGCCAGTCACAGGCAGAGACTGCTCCCCTTCACCACCTAAACTGGCAGAGAATTAGCAGACTCCTCGGCAGAGAATAAGCCCACTATCTCTTGGTTCTGACTAATTGAACTGTTAAATGTGCATTAAACTCAAGTGTCCAAATTCTGCTTTGTCAACAGGTTGCTCGTGGGGGCTCCCCGGGCGGTGGCCCTTCCGCTGCAGAGGGCCAACAGAACAGGAGGCTTGTACGAATGTGACATCACCTCTGAAGGGCCCTGCACTCGGATTGAATTTGATAACAACGGTGTGTTCTTCACTCAGTGTTCACCTGACCATCTCGCCTGTACCCTACTTGCCCTTACCACGAAGAAGGAAAAGGGAGTACATGCGGTTATTTTTGGAGAGAGGGCCTCTTTAATTGCATCAGCCTTGACTGTTTCTTGTTTGCCTGAAGACATTTGCTTTCTAAGTCACCTTGGGATGCACTTTCCTGCTGTCCACCCCAGCCAACCCCGCCTGCTTTCTCAGCTGAGACCGTGTGTTGATGTTGCCACCTAGTGGTGTTTTGTGGTTCTACAGGAGGTGGTAGAAAAATTGTATTCCCAGCTGTAAAGAAAATTGAATGTGCATGTCTTGTACTCAGCAGTCAGAAGCTGTCACTTGCTGTTAAAATATTTGGGAGAAAGGCTATTTTCAGTATCAGATCTCTATGAAATGAGAGCTGGCCGACATGGGTAAATTTTGCCCGACTGTCTCAGAGAGAGGCTTGTTTTGTGAGGATTCTCTATGTTGGGCAGAGCAATTAGTGTACTGAGAAGCTCCAGCCAAACCTAATTTGACATACGTGGTCTAAGTAGATTTTCAGATTCATGTTTATGTTCTTGCATTTTCATCTTTTAGAAATAACTTTTTTTCTTCCTGATTAGAAAATAATATATTGATTGTAGGGAACTTGTGAACAGAATTGACCTTAAAGAAAAAGACAAAAAGCCCACTGTAATCTAGACATAATCACTCTTTATTTAACGTATTGGCATTTTTTCCTTCTGTCTGTTTAAAGTTGTTTAGTTTTCATATTTTTTGTAATCCAGGATTGAAAATAATGCCTGCCTTGCTTCTCACTGAGGAAGGCAGAAAGTTGGGTATAGTGTCTGTCACACAGTGGGTTCAAACTGATACTGACATGAACACGTGGTGGTCTTTGTGGTCTCTTTCTCTCTTTTTGTGGGGAAGGCAATAAAAGCAAAGATATCACTTTCCTTTTTGGCACTGATAGAAAGATACAAAGTGAATCTGAGGCCCTGTCCTCCCATCTCCAGTAAAGAACAGAACAGTTCATGCGGTTACGTGCATATTGGCAGTATGCAGAGAAGTGGCCTATTTTGTTGGTTTGGCTAGTAGTTTTGAGCCTAGAAATTGGATTTTCATGTTGTTGCTGTAGGAAGCATATGTTGAAGGGCAACCTCTTCATCTCGCTATTTTCAAATGCCTTTCTGTACTCAGGACACTGGGGACTGGGGTAAAGGCCCACCAAGTAGAGCTCTGTATTTTATGTGAAGAAATTTATGGAAGATTCCTGCTGATGACCACTTACCCATTTTCTTAAGATGAGAAATAGTTTCTCTGGATTGAGCAACTGAATTACTAAGTAGCAAGAATTCAGGTCAAGGCAATTAGAAGCCATTTCTTGTGTTTGTGTTCATCTATTGGTTCACTGCCTGTTCCAGTCACTTTGAAGCTCTAACTGTGTGTGTGTGTAACGTGTGTTGCTTTCCACAGCTGACCCTTCATCAGAAAGCAAGGAAGATCAGTGGATGGGGGTCACCGTGCAGAGCCAAGGTCCAGGGGGCAAAGTTGTGGTAAGTGTACAGAAGTGTGTCATTCCACCATGTCTGAGTGCCTGTTAGCGTGCCAGCACCTTACAGCAGTGAACAAAACAGGCAGAGCTCCAGCCCACATAGAGGGTACATTCTAGAAAACGAACTGCTTTAAAGCAGGATTTGATGTCAAGAAGAAATCAAAAGATTAGTTTCCCTGTGATTCCTGATACACTTTGAAGCAGCCATACAACTTGCCTTTCTTCAGAACTTTGAGACTAAAAAACTTACTAATAAACCTTCATTGAATATCCTTAAGTATTTTTAACCTGTGTTATGTGGAGGGTTAGCCGATATCCTGTGAAATTACAGAGATTATTTGATCTCTTCTTGTAGTATAATTCTGCCTTTTAAAATAAACTTAATTTTCAGAGTTTAGAGTATAAATCAGGACTGATTATAAGGTAATAGTATGTGTAAAAGGAAAATGTCTTTGTGTTATCTGTGTTTGCGTGATCTCTTTGGAAATATGTCCATATTCTTCCCTTTGGTACAAAATTACTTATTTTCTCAAACATACTGATGTGAAAATTTATATAGCCATTTTCAGTTAGTAAATGAAATATTTTCCATTGTTTATGTGACAAGTTAATTGACAAATAAAGTTGCCTGTGGGTTATAGATGGGCATTTAATATTTGAATTTGACCATTATTCTCTGGATGAGAATAAGACAGAAATCTTAGTTTCTGTATGCTAGTTTCTTAAGTGCCACTTGGGGGAAGATTTGGTGATTTTGGATCCAACCCCAGGATGAGGACATATTTAATATCCCACTTAGTATTAACCTCTTTATTATTGACAATTTTATCAATTTGTAATGAAAAACAAAGGTTCATAGACCTGAAGGGGCTACTTTATTCCATCTGTTTGCAGACATGTGCTCATCGATATGAGAAAAGGCAACATGTTAATACAAAGCAGGAATCCCGAGACATTTTTGGAAGGTGTTACGTCCTGAGTCAGAATCTCAGGATTGAAGATGACATGGATGGAGGAGATTGGAGTTTTTGTGATGGCCGACTGAGAGGCCATGAAAAATTTGGTTCTTGCCAGCAAGGTGTAGCAGCTACTTTTACTAAAGACTTTCATTACATTGTGTTTGGAGCCCCAGGCACTTACAACTGGAAAGGTATGACGTGTGTGTTTATGGAAAAAGAAATTCACATAACTACATAATTTCTATTATATACACAATGATTTAGTACATTTTAAGTTAAAACAATGTATTATAAGCATTTGTATATTATAGAAGCAGGGTAGGATATTAAAATCTCTAAGTTACATGATTTTTAAGAACAGTGGTAGAAATGTATGTTTAAATGTTTTTTCTCTCTACCAGTAATTTACATTAATACAAGTAGTTGACTTTTTGTCTCTAAGAATATAATAATTAATATTAGTAGTTTTAACTGTCCTATATTTGCCTGTTTCATGACGTGGAGAGTTTTAATTTTAGGGTAGTGATCTGAAAATGAGCAGAATTAAATGGTGTTATGCACATATAGACAATTCTTTTATTATATGTTAAAAGGCCATGTTTAGCTATCAAAGCAGTAAAATTAGAAAAGCAGATGACAAATAAGGGCATTTGAGATGGCAATTGTAGATAGCTTGTGGGAAAGTTGTTTAATTACTATTGTGATGCTGGTAAAACAGAGAGGGAGGGAGGGAGGAGAATGGCCCATAGTTCTGACTGATCAGCTTGGTCAGTTCTTGTAATAAACTTTAACTCCTCTAAAGAAACTTAGCAGGTTTAGAAAACCTCCAAGTTTAATAGACAATTAACCTAACTCTAATCCATAATGAAGATCAATGCATCTGATTTGGAAATAAAAGTCTGCCTTTTTTGTATGACATACAATAAATACTATGTCATAACATTTTCATTGGTAAGGAAAACTTAGGAAAATTTACCCCTTTTCATTAAAATATTTCCAAATTAATTCCTATTAGAAGTGACCCTTGGGAACACCTCCCTCTGCATGTCGTCATAGGAACTGTGGGAGTTCCTTCCTCTGGCTGCCCACCCCTGAATGGCCCACAGAGCAGTATTTGTCAGGTTATTTTGATCTGTAACACACTGAATTTAGAAAGAATTTTATTTTAGCAAGAATAGATGCCATGTGTAATAAAACAAAACAACAAAAGCATCCATCAATTATGTATGTTTTAGTGTGAAACATGTCTTACCTGCTTTATAAACCTGATCTTAAAGTGTTACCATTTTTCAAGTCGTACAGTGGGCTTACTGTATGAAATCTTCTCTTCTTAGTTATTGTGAAAATTTTAAAAGGTGAAATCTTAGTAAAAGTGATTTGAAGATCAAAATGTTAATTTCACTTTTATACTAAGAAGGTAAATTGATTTAGGATAACACATATCAGTTATATGATTTTAAAAATTATTTTCTGTAGGTTTAGTTAACCAAGTAAACATTTCATTTTCCATCTAGGTCCATGGTATTATATAGATAATTCATGAAAATACATGGAGCATTGTTTTTTTAATCATTAAAACAAATTTCTTTGACATAAAAATTTATATGAACATGATTTTTTAACTTAATTACCTCAGAAGTCACCTCTTTCCTCCGCTTTTTCTTCCCCCAGACCTTCCTGTCCTTAGTGATGGCATGAGGAAGGTTTAGTAGGAACCATCTGTTTTGTTTTGCTTCATCTTCATTCTCTTGTTTTTACCATTTCATTCCTTTAGGGATTGTTCGCGTAGAGCAAAAGAATAATACTTTTTTTGACATGAACATCTTTGAAGATGGGCCTTATGAAGTCGGGGGAGAGAGCGACCATGACGAAAGTCTAGTCCCCGTGCCTGCCAACAGTTACTTAGGTAGGAGTGGGGGCGGCCGCCGCGCCTCCCGCCCGGGGCCCCGGACCTCCGCCGAGATGGGCCGGTGGGCCGGGGACCTGTGGCCGCGCTCGCTGCCATGGAAGGCTTGGCAGTCCTGAGGCTGCCGGACTGATGCTCGTGGCCCTGCCTTCTGCCCGCGAGGAAGGAGGGAGCCCACTGTCCCCTGAGACTGCCCGTCTTCCACGTGGACGTCTGTGTCCTAAACGAGTTCGGCCTCCGTAACCTGACAGGCCACTCATGCAGCTGTGAAAACACAGTGCGCTGAGCTGCCTTCTCTCCGCCTTCAGGGCCTCCTTCTGGAGATGCTCTTGTGCGCTGCGTCCATGAAGGTGCTTACGTGGCCGGTTAAGGCCTCCAGGCCCCTCCTTTGTGGTCGCCGTTCTCCACGGGTCGGCCCTACTCCTGGATTTGGGCCCCCGGGTCACAGGGCCCCCGGTGGCACGGCCGCTTGCCAGCTGAGACTGAGTAGGACCGCTAACGCAGCTTTAAGGACATCCAGATCGCGTCTGAGTGCCAGCTCCTTAACTCCTAAGGCTTGTTTGCACATTACTAATGGTGTCCTAAATTATTCGTGTGCATTACGGTAATTACACAAAGGCTTTTAAAAGCTTTAATTCTTGGTATGAGTTGACATAAAGAATAATTACTTGCATTTCTTGGGAAAAAATGTAAAAAATCTCCTAAACCTGTTTAGGGACCTGTTTTTTCTAACCATATGCTAGAGATATTACTGGAATAATGGAAGGTACAAAAGGTAAAAAGAGGCATAGATATAAGAATAATTCTACATCGCATGTAAGTAAACATATTCTGAAACAACAAATAATGTGTATGAAAGGCACTGTTAATTAAAAACTTGTCAGACCGTTCCCCGTCCCCAAATTTAACCCTGACGTGAAGGCAGAGGAGCGAGAAGACAAGTCATACATCCTACTTGTGAAGCCGCCGCAGGGCCAGGGGGGTCACACCCCCCACGTAACTGCTGCCCTGGTCTTGTGTGAGCCTCCCAACAATATTATAAAACAAGCATCATTGCCCCTCTTTTGCTGATGACAGGCAAATGATTTAGGGGGATTAATTGCCTACTCCCAGGTCACACAATTAATAATCTCCCAGCCAAGGGAAGAAGTTCTGGTGGAAGTGGCCAGGGCGGGGTGGGAGGCACTGGGTGTGTGGCTGCTGCGGTATCAGGAGGGGAACACAGCGCCGAGCGGTTGGCAGTCTCAATTATTAAATACGGTTTTTCAAAGTAAAATCCTTTTCAAGGTAAATATTGTCAACAAGCCAGTATTTTATTTGAATATATTTAAGCAACCTCTCTTCAAATGGATTATTTAGGGGTTACTTATGATGAGAAGTATTTGATGTTAGTGGTTCTGGTCAAGAAACTAACACTTTGGTATTTAAGGTGATGCCTATGGAGTTTATAAACATAGTTGCTATCGAATCATTAACAAATAGTATATATTTTTTGTTAAACACATTTGTACTTTTAGACAGATTTCTTCAAAAGTGTGTGGATTCCTAAGAAAGTCAAGTTCGTATTGTTACATTTTTGTTGTCTATGCTGCCCATGCTGCCATTTCAAAACACCAGTGGGTTTTAGCAATAAAATGACCTGCTTCAAGTTTTGGAGCTGGCAGAGAGGGAGGGTGGCTTGCTGGCTGCTGTGGTGGCCTCGTCATCCAGAGAGAATGACTGTAGCCGTGGTGCCTCTTACCAAGCGTAATTGCTTTTTCTTCAATCTCTTCCATCCCGTGCATGTGTACAGGCCTGCTGTTTGTGACCAGCATTTCCTATACAGATCCCGATCAGTTTGTTTATAAAACACAGCCTCCCAGGGAGCAGCCCGACACATCCCCTGATGTGATGATGAATAGCTACCTAGGTTTGTGACCTCTGAGATGACAAATAAATTGTCTTGCTCATGGTCATTTAAAAATTTTTTTTGATCCATACAGAGCATAAATCTTTTTATTTTCTATTTCATTTCAAGTGAAGCACACATAAAAAGCCTGCCATGGATGAGGCTCTGCTGCCAGAAGGCATTCAGAGCTGGATTCGATTATATCACCCTGTTCTAGACTTACAGCTCATCGTGTTTTTCAGCTCATTTCACAATTTGAGAACTGCAACAATAGTGGTGAAGCTTTTCATAAATAAAACCCAATAAAAAGGGTGAACTTACACCATTCTGCGCTTGCCTTGCCTTTATATAGCAAGCTTTGCTCAATTTGAATGGTTTTGATGTGGGCATTTATATTTGCTTACCACCAGATCTCAGTATTTGTAATCTGACACCATGCTTTATAATAGGTGTTCCAACATTTTCTGCCCTCTGAACAAGTATGTAATTGATATTGGTGACAACTTGCTCACCTCTATTGTTTATACTAGGTTATCAAATACTGTATCTCATTATTCATGGTTTTGTATGCATGTTTTTGCTGAGAATGAAGTGCCCATATGGTGATGCTGTCTGTGGTATGTTAATGATGTTAGCATTTGTTCTTGCCTGATTACCAAGGAGACTGGTAAATATGGGAGTGACTAATCATTACATTATAGCAGAACCCTAAAAAACAGGCACTCAGGTGTGCTATGTCAGGGTGTATCTTTGTGTATATTTCCCCGTGATACTTCAGTGTCTAGCTTGGTCTCTTTTTATCACAGTTCTAGTATTAAAATGGAGTTTGAACTGGTTCTTAAGGTGCATGAATGCTTTGTGATTTAAGTTACACAAATGCTAAACAGTATAGGTGCTCTTCTGTAAAAGTCTTAATCTATTTCCATAGAAATGTATTTTTTATATTTCTACAAAAGCAATGAAATGGCCCACTTCTTTGGACTTGGGTCAAACCCAGTAGCACTGTAACTCTTTAATATTATAAATCTGATAGTTGGGACAGAGGGTCAGAAGGAGAGGGGGTGGGAAGCAAAAGGAAAGGAGAGAGATGGAGTCACCAGTGTTAGATACCTCCTGAAATACAGGGTTGATGTAAACTGTGTTCTGTTTTTCTAGGCTTTTCTTTGGACTCAGGAAAAGGTATTGTTTCCAAAGATGACATCACCTTTGTGTCTGGTGCCCCGAGAGCCAATCACAGTGGAGCTGTGGTTTTATTCAGAAGAGACATGAAGTCTGCACACCTCGTCCCTGAACACATATTTGAAGGGGAAGGGCTGGCATCTTCATTTGGCTATGATGTTGCAGTGGTGGACCTTAACAAAGATGGGTAAGAGCGTTTTAGGTGATTTTATATTTCAAAGAAATCATTGCTGCTTTGATTTTTGTAGGTCTTGAGAAGAGCCATTCTTTCAGGTTAGTTGATTCAAAGAATATTTTTGCTGCCAGATCTTTACTATCCTATCACATCTTCATCACTTGTATTTTGGCAGCAGACATTCATTACCCTTCTCAGGGTGTAGGATTACATTTCAGTTTTCATATTTTACTCATGTCTTGGGATCATGGGTCCATGAGAATGAAAATTTGGGAAAAAAAATTAACACAAAAAATGACACCTACATGGTTCTGTTCTTTGTTTCTTAAGAGGCTGTTGGAGCATCCAAGATGTCCTTTTGAAAGTAGGGATTGGTGACAAAGTCCTTGCATGAATCCCTGGATGGTGGTACCAGTTTGGGGTGGGGATAGCGTCTTCACTGGGAGTCTCTCTGCATTGTTATTCTAGCTTGAGGAACTGGCCTCAAGTTCTTACCTGTGATATGTTTCTTTGGGTATTTATTACAGGCTATCTTGGTTTTTTAAAAATGTTTTAATTGATGAGATATAAATTCCAGATTTGAGGTCCTTTCTGTTTTATCTCTGTGTCTTACTACCAGGGCTGGTGGTATTCTTCCTGAGCTGACTGGTATTTTAGCTGGTGGCTCAGTTTTCTCCCTCATTGTGTTTTTAGGTGGCAAGATATAGTTATTGGAGCCCCACAGTATTTTGATAGAAATGGAGAAGTTGGAGGTGCAGTGTATGTCTACCTTAACCAGCGAGGCAGATGGAATAATGTCAAACCAATTCGTCTTAATGGAACCAAAGATTCTATGTTTGGTGTTGCAGTAAAAAATATTGGAGATCTTAATCAAGATGGCTACCCAGGTAGGTAATGGATTGTGAAATGGTTGTAATTTTTATAGGTAATTTGATTGTCTAAGATAATTGACCACTATGGCATCTTATTTTAAAACATTGTGTTGGAATGTATTTAACATGTAATGTTTGTCGACATGTGATATTATCAACAGATATTGCAGTTGGAGCGCCCTATGATGGTAAAGGAAAGGTTTTCATCTATCATGGATCTGCGAATGGAATAAATACCAAACCAACTCAGGTAACCCGATAACCTGGATTTCTATAATAAGGGTCTCAGCTTTTTGCCATGTAATAGAATACTGAGGTATATGTGAATTTTCATGTTGATCATGTTTTACTTGCAAATTGTTTGAATTTTGTTTTTTTAATATTTATTTATAATTTGGTTTATTTATAAATGAACTCTTAAACTTCAGTTCAAAAGAAACTTGTGTGTCCTTTTCAAAAATAGAAGAGAAGCTCATTTTGGTGGCCCAGTGTCCATTCTGATACCCTGTTCATTTCAGGTTCTTGAGGATAGCAAGTCAAATTATTTTGGATATTCAATTGCTGGAAATATGGACCTTGATAGAAATTCCTACCCTGATGTTGCTGTTGGTTCCCTCTCAGATTCAGTGACTATCTTCAGGTATATTATCTCGGACTTCACTCAATCAGATTACACTAAAATTTTGACCTCTTGAATTAAAATTTGTAACATATACTTCAGAGGAAAAGGCTTGTTTGAATTTTGAAGGTTTTTCTTTTGAGAGTAGTGTAACAATGTAATAAAAACCTATTTTGTAAAATTGTATTTTGAACTGAGAAAAAGGTCAGAATTGGTGAAAATTTTTACTTCGTAAAAATATTAAAACCTTATATTTTCATAAAAACTGAAACACATAATATTTGACAGTAAAGAATATAAAGAAGGAAATAAAAATGCCCTATATTTTACTGTCCATTATTAAACTCGAAAATTTTGGTTTATATCCTTCTAGTCTCTTATTTTCTGAGAATATGTACATATGTTTAACAAAATTAAGATTATAATGTACATGTTGTTTTGTAACCTGCTTTTGTCAGTTTGTAACGCCAAGGGCACTTTGTGCATGTAAGTTTGTGACACACAGTGGGGCTTTGCCATTGAGTACCGTTCTGAAGTGACGTGAATGGCGGCCTCTGAGGCCCCCACGACTAGGGCATAGTTAATTTACAGTGTCATTGGATGTTCATGTTACTTTCCAAGTTGTTTTTTTTCCATGGTACGCCAGGCTGTGGCAAACATCCATACTTTGTTCGTGTTCTGGATCATTTCCTTATGATAAATTCCTAAAAGTTGAAGTTGCCGAGTTGAAGGGCATATGTTTTTTAAGACTTACTTTAATTCAGGTTCACCAAAATGACCTCCAGAAAGGCTGTAACAGTTGCCTACCATCTGTGTTTTCAAATCTCCTTTTCCCAGTGATTTCATCATTGCTTTAAAAGTTGTCTTTTAAAAGAAATTTTAAAAGTAGCACCTTCTTGTAGAAATAAATAAATAAATAAATAATACCAAATTGGAGAAAGTGCAAGTTCCCCAATATTCCTATGCACTTCCAAAAAACAACTTTTAATAGTTTTGAGTATTTCTCTACTTCTAGGGTGTCATCAAAAGGCCATAGCTGTTCTCTAATCAGACCCTTAACAATGTAATCTCTTGAGTTGTCTCTCCTTGTCAGTGCTGTACAGTATAAATCAATCTTATTCTTCTTAACAACTTAATAGTATTTCATTATATGAATTTAATTATTCCTCAGTTGATGGAATTAATAGAAAGGCTCTGACCTTGAGCTATTATAAATAATGTATCTATGTAATAGGGTTGTTATTTTTGTCTTAAGAGACATGCCTAGAAATAGAATTCTTGGGATACAGGTTTACGCATTTTTTTTATTAATACATAATACAGAAAAGTTGTAATACAGAAAAGTTGTAACAGTTTATACTCATAGCAGCAGCCTATGCAAATGCCTGCTTTCTTACCCCCTTACCAACAATGAACATGATGAATCTAATTTATGCCCACATGCAAAGAAATCAGCATTTCTTTGATTGCTAGTGAGAAGGAACCATTTATTTTGTTTTTAACAATTTGGCCATAATCAGTATTATCTTAAAGAATATTTTTAAAGAAATGGGCAATAATGTATAGTGAAACCTTAATGAAAAGAGAAAGTGTGTATGTGTGCACACAGTGCCATCATTACCCTGTACATTTCCAGAAGGGTGCCAGGTGTAGATGTAGCCGCAATATTTAATATATAATCCTAAGCAAAACCCCTGGGGATAAGAAACCAATAGACTAGGTTTATAGCATTATGAAGAGAATGCTATAAAAATTAGAATATAGGGTATGTGTGTGTGTGTGTGTGTGTAATATATGCAATTTAGCATAGAATACTATAGAAGAAGTTGCTTTTTAATGGAAACCTTGCTGAAATAGTTGGTTTTATATATACTCTACCTTCTAAAGACATTGAATATTTTTAGGTTAATCCTATATGATTGTAATATATGCAATTTAGCATAGAATACTATAGAAAAAGTTCTCTGGATAAGTCATTAATGTGACATCTAAGAATCACAGAAGTTACAGATGGCAAAGTAGGAGGTGTGAAATAAATAGAGAAGACTATGTCTGAGATGTGAGTGAGGCTAAGAAGATAAAGTGCAGTCTACTAAAAACATGTGTCTGATTGGGGAAGGGTAGTGGTCAGGGCGATATGGATAGGTCAGCCATGGTTTGTGGTTGGCGATCTCATCGGCCCCAGGAACCTCCCGTCCTTCCAGCTGTTGCCCTGGGGAGTGGTGTCAACTGTGTGCCTCCAAGGCTTTATAAAGTCAGTCTTAGTTCCTTAAAGCTGTCTGTTCATATCTGAGTTTACACACGTGTCTCTCAGGTATGACGTTCCAGTCAAAGCCTTGGTAATATAACCAGTGTTTTTAATTGGTCCTCTTACAAGGAAAGCATTCAGTCTGCATTCTGTCTGGTGACTCTCAATTACTGCCTCTGTATGCCTGTTTCTCTCTGTTCATATAGGATTAACCTAAAAATATTCAATGTCTTTAGAAGGTAGAAGAGTATATATAAAAACCATTCAACTATTTCAGCAAAGTTTCCATCAAAAAGCAATTTGAACTTCTGGTCCTAATTTGAGGTGTGGTCCTCAGGTATCATGAAGACTTGACATCCTGTACCAAAATTTGGTTACAAAGTCTTTCCCAGCAGATAATCTATTTTTAGTCAGTTAAATATTTGCTTTTGTATGTAATTGACATTTTAATAAACTTTTCTGTTCTTACAAGTAGGTTTACTATGAACCCTGTAAACATGTTCCTTCTTCCCTAATAGATAGTACTGTAAGATAAATTTTAGCCGAAATAAGCAGGTGAAGAGAGGCAACAAAGGGCCGGTAGTTTATTTGAGTGCAACTCCCGGGTGATGTTCCACGGTCTGGGTGTTACAGGTCGGTCTGGGTGTTACAGGTCGGGGAAGTCACACCCTGTCAAGGAGGTGGGGGCTTATAAGGGATTAGGAGGGGGAGGAGTGGGCAAGCTATCCTAGGGGGCGTGGAGAGGTATGATTGGCTAAAGGTGACATAATAGACAACTAGAAACTTTTTTCCTTCCAAGAGGGAGGAGGCTGACATCTGGGTCTTAGTTGGCACATCAGAAGGATGGAATTCAGGAAGAGCTGTCCACTTTCCATATAAGGAACAGACCTTGGGGTCTGGTCTGTTCTCCCCCTATGGCATCTCTCTGTTCTGTTTGCATGTCCTTGTTTTTCCTTCCTCCAGCCTAATATTCCAGCCTTTTGGTCATAATGGGCGATGACTTGATCTGGCTACTTCCAGCTGACCAGGGGCATCGGGGTTTGAGGCTGGTATTAGGCCGAAGGAGGGGGTTCAGTGGGAAGAGATGCATAATGGTGAAGAAACATCTGGTTGGTGGCGACCCGGGTCTTCTAGGTTAGCTGCTGTTGGAGGAACCTGAGGACACAAGGAGCAACTAAGAGTAAACTACAAACTGTTATTAAGGGGCTCAGTAGGGGCATTAGCCAGGCCATTATGGGGGACTGTAATTCTGGATTGAGTTTACATCTCAATGACTAGTATTGGGGTTTAGTATAGATAAGACTGCATTATTGAAATAATACTTGTCTCTAAAATTACCCTCGTTTTTATTAGAAGTAGCTAGATTAAGAAAATAATTAACAGTTGGCTTGATTATTTGCATAAGTGCAGCAAGAAGAGCAATTGATTATATAGGCTCTTTGAAATATGCTTTGCTGGAACTTTTTATAAGGAATTTCAGTTTGGACTTTTAAAGACTTCTTGAGGTCAGAAAGCCAAGCCAGACTTGCCATCAGGTTGTGCCTGCAGTACCTGTAGATTTGGGTGAATTTCTCTCTTCTCTGAGGTTTCCAAAACATTCTTGAGGTTCCTGCATCTGCCAGGCAGTGACCTTCCTTACTCACCTGGTAAGGCTGCTGGGAACTCTGTAAGCAAGGTACCAGGCCAGTTCTTTTAAGGGGCTTTGTTGGTTTTATAAAGTCAGTCTTAGTTCCTTAAAGCTGCCTGTTCATATCTGAGTTTACACACGTGTCTCTCAGGTATGACGTTCCAGTCAAAGCCTTGGTAATATAACCAGTGTTTTTAATTGGTCCTCTTACAAGGAAAGCAGATTCTTATTGAACTTGTGCAAATAAACATACTGCCATGAAATATAAAAATAGTCACTGAAAGTTTTTAAATTCTGGAGGGATCAGGTAGAGAGAAAGATAAAGTTTCAATTCTGCTTATAAAGGCAGTCATTTACTAAACTGTTGTCAGTTTAAGAGAAAAAGCTTAAAACACTTTATCAACAACATTTGAAACAAAAAACCACAAAATCATCTTCTTTATTTTACTTAATTTTATGTAACTAATACCTGTTCTGCTGAAATCTAGTCCTTTACTAGCTTAAGAGTAATAAAACAGTGACTATAAATAATAAAAGACTTACAAATGACAATGGTTAAAGATTTGACGAGAGCTTACTGTAAGACAGTTGACATAAGGAAATTCTGATATTTCTGTAACACAAAACATTTAGTAACAAAGTTTAGCATTATTCTTTTTGACAGTGCTTTCTAGGTAATTAAGCAGGTAATTATATATCAGATAAATTAGCTAAATTAGCCACATACTTTCTCCAATGAGAAAAAGTTCTTCTGACATGTTCCAGGGGCCCTCTGGAAAATATCAGAGTTAACTAGAGGTAAAAGCACCTTTTGAATTTGATTTTGGGAAGCTGTTAAAAGTTTTAAGGCACTTGCTTAAATAGGATTATAGGTTGCTATGAAGCAATACTTATCTATTTAACCAGAATGACAACAAAATACCTCAAAGGCAAATAAAAAAGGTTACACAGTTGTTAGCAAACTTTAGCTTTTAGTCCTTTTAACATTAAGATCTCATTTTCTTAAATACTCTGACAACTCATTGAGACTTTAAGCATGAGAAACTGCTTTGATAAAACAATTAGAGAACTTTTTGCAATTTTTCAATATTAAGAGCAGACTAACAGTTAAGAAAACTTTGTCTTTTTAACTGAAAACAAAATTCTAATTTTGCTGTGTACTGTATACCGAGACTCATTTGCTTTTATTTTATGTAGCATGACCATATTAAATTATTCTACAAACTTACTACAACGTTTTTTACATTTAGATTTCTCCCTCTAAATAAATAGCTGTACTTTAGAACAAAGTTACTTTCTTTTATCAAAAGACACATTATTTAGCATGCAGAAATCTTTTCCTTATTACTTTAAGTAGTTTTAATTAGAACTTAAAACTATTAGGTACCTTAATTTTTAGTGAACACTGAGAAGTAGGCTATTATAAACTGTTATACTAGCATTCTTTGGATTGACAAATTTATGAACATTTTATAATTTCTGTTAAGTATGAGCTTTACAACACAATCTCTCACTAAGCACAAAGTATATCTTTTTAACTTAGCAAAACTTTAAGGTTTTAGGTCACCACAAAGATTTCTAGGCTGTAGATAGGTATACACACTGTAACACACAATTAAAAAGGTGTTCACTTGCCACACTTACTTAGTTCACTCATACGAATGAGTGACATTCTATGCTAGATTACTTACAAGACCTTTACTGAATATTAGACAAAGCCAAACCTTTAAGCATTTTATTCTTAAAAGATTTAGCAGATAACATCAACTTAAATGACCTTAGGTAAACTTAGGCAGCTGATAACTACAAGGACATGCCCGCCTCAGCTAAACCCAAATTAGCATTAATGCTTAACATTTTTTATCAGATTTTCTGGAAGTTTTAGAATGCCTAATTTTCACAAGCGCTTGTTTTTTAAATCAATTTTTATTAATACCATCCAGAGGTAGGAAAATATTTTTCATCTACACACCTAGACACACAAACATACAAACTGAGACACAACGACTACAGTCAGCAACATTTTTTACACAAAAACATATACACAGACAGACAAACCGATAAAAAGACTTAAGTCACTGATATCTAACTGCTTTCCTTCTCTGAGCATGTTCCGGTAGGGGAAGAGGGCAGTGAAGGCGGAAGGAGAGGGGGAGGGGGTGGTGCAGCCACCGGAAGAGGAGAACAGGACGACAGCATGGTTGAGAATGTAGGACTTTAAGACAGCGGCGACACGTGTGAAGACAAGGGACTTAAAGATGGTGGTGGAGAGAGGGGGAGAGGATTGTGAGCTGAGGGAGGTGGGAGATCAAGGTCCTCTGGTGAATCTGAAAAGGAAGAAGGACTGAGCAGAGTAAGAGGCTGACAATCTTTAACTGGAGATCCATAAAGGTCTGGATGGGAGTGCAAAGTCCAAAAAGCCTGGACATATGGGATTTCACTCTACTTTCCGCTCCAGTGGCAATAATTAATTAAGGTGGTGAGGAGGCCAAAATGTAAAGTTCCCTCAGGGGGCCAGCGAGATTGATTGTCCAAGGGATACTGAGGCCTGGCCTCAGAGCAAAGAAAGACTAGCTTCTATTTGCAAATTTCTTGGGACAAATATAGAGCAGCCAAATTAGAAATGAGACACCGCAGCGGGGTCTGAGCCTCTGCTTTTGAGGGCTGGTTCCCCATGTCTGTGCCACTCCCCAACTAATCCCACTGAGAGGAGCGCCCAGCATCCCAAGCGCACCAAGTCAGGGGAGATGGCCTGGGTGAGGGATGTCTCTCCCACCGCAGGGCCAGGGGCGGGTATCCCGGATGCCCACAGATGTCCTGGGACCTGGGGTAGGGACGTATCCCCTACCACAGGGCTAGGGGCAGGACGGATGCCCTCAGACATCCTGGGGCCTGGGGTAGGGATATCTCCTGTACTGCAGGGCCAGGGACAGGCCAGATGCCTGCAGAGGGTGGGCCAAATGCCCCACCTGGATGTACATACAATTTCTAACGGACCAGATGAAATGGAGTTAGGGAGGGAAACAGACCAGGGGAAACTGAGGGACTCACCGGAAAATAGTCCATGCAGCAGAGAGCAGGCTGAGGTCCTGGGTCGGGGAAGGAGGGGGTGGGGCCGCTGGTGGCCGGTCGGGGCTCTGCGCTCACGCTCCTTCCCGGGATTTCGGTACCAAATGTAAGATAAATTTTAGCCGAAATAAGCAGGCAAAGAGAGGCAACAAAGTGCCAGGTAGTTTATTTGAGTGCAACTCCCGGGTGATGTTCTGCGGTCTGGGTATTACAGGTCAGGGAAGTCACACCCGGTCAGGGAGGTGGGGGCTTATAAGGGATTAGGAGGGGGAGAAGTGGGCAAGCTATCCTAGGGGGTGTATGATTGGTATCCTAGAGGTATGACTGGCTAAAGGTGACATAATAGACAACTAGAAACTTTTTTTCCTTCCAAGAGGGAGGAGGCTGACATCCAGGTCTTAGTTGGCACATCAGAAGGATGGAATTCAGGAAGAGCTGTCCCCTTTCCATATAAGGCACAGACCTTGGGGTCTGGTCTGTTCTCCCCCTATGACATCTCTCTGTTCTGTTTGCATGTCCTTGTTTGTTTTCTTCCTCCAGCCTAACAAGTACAAAAGTAAATTTCAAAATCCTTTGATAAACAAGAGAACTGTCTTGTTTTACAAATAAGGAGATGGAGGCTTGGGACTAACTTGAACTTTTGAGGCTGGATCCTATGAGGATCCCAATTACAGTCATGGGCATTTTTTCTACTAAAGCAAGCTAGTTTATCAGGGTATTTAGTAAAAATGCCAATTAAACACAAGTCAACAGAGCCAGTAAGATTTGCTTTATATGTTATGACACATATTTCATGATTCATATATGTGCTTCAAAATTGTATGTATGCTGTATGTTTAAAAAACAGAAAAATAGGTTTGGGGCAGAAGTGTGTGTTAAAATATTTCCTTTTGCAATTGTGCCACATTAAAACCTTAATACTATGATATGTAAAAACACTCTAGCTTTAGCAATTGGTTTTGAAATATTTGTGAGCTTTGGCCTTTTAAATATGCTCTCAAAACTTTAGGAATGTTATCTAGTTAGTATCTCAGGAACTAGCAGCTGTCTAAATTGTAGAATAACAATATAAAGCTGAACATTTGAGATAAAAGGACATTAAGAGATGGGGAATGTGGGCAGCCTCGGCCCTTTTCTTGGCTCCTACGTCCCCCACGGAAGTACTGGTGCCCTCCCTAGCCTTCTGACAGACTGATGCCAGAGGGCTGAGCTAGCTGTCTGGGATTTGGAATGTATTTTCCTATCAAATCACTGTTCTCCAGGGTGGCTGCTTTCACCGCAAGCCTCCCACAGTCAGTCTGACGGAATCTGTGCATCAAGGAGACCCCGGAGGCCACACTGAGTTCTGGCTGGGGAGAGGCGCACAACCTCCTCATGCCGTCGGGTCCCTGGCCACTGCCTCCCAGGCCTGGGGCTTCCGGCGGGCACAGGCTGGTGGTGACCCTGCTGGCTGTGGGGAGTAGGGGAGAATAGGTAGGGAGAGAAGGGCTAACAGAGTGGGATTCTAGCTTGAGTGTTCACGAGGTTGGGTTTGGCAGAGCAGAGGCAGGAAAGGTTAAGGGATTCGTGTGTTTGCTTCCAGAGAGGTTTTGAGGGAGAGAAGTTGTAGGCATTTCTGGTAGCAGGAGGTCAAAGACTTCAGGTTGGGGATGGGAGGTTCTGAGGGAGGATAAGGGCGGGCAGGTGTTTGTGAGATGGAGACCTGTCGGTTGAGGATTACTTGTGTTGCTAGAATTACATGTATGTAGAGACCCTGGCAGTGAGCACCACAGTTGTTCCATGTGTGTCAGTGTGACCTTTTTGGAGAGTATTTAGGCAAGATCACTCATAGTTAAATATGCACATACTCTGAAAAATTCTGCTAGAGGTTTATCGTACAGTAAATTCAAATGTGTACACATTTGATGCATGTACAAGGATGTTTGTCAGAGCTTAAGGTCCAAAAACAACATAAATGTCTACCAATTAGGGACTGGTTAAATAAATGTCACACTGGCACAATGCAGCACCACCAGCTGTGAAAAACAATGACCTAGACTTGTGCACGTAGATATGAGAAGACGTTTGAAACATTAATGAAGGGGAAAAGTAATATGCAGAATAATAAGCATGAAAATCTCCCATTGGAAAGATTATATGTTTTCATGCTTTAGATATTTTAAACAGAACACACAGGCTATACCGTGTGTCTGAAAGGGCATGCAGGGCTGCCTGGGGATTTGGGTAGCAATCAACTTTCACATCTTGCACCTGTTACTCTTTCAATTTAAAAACTCTCAAACTATGAAATATTTTGTGATTTTAAACAATGTTATATTTAAAGTTTTTAAATATCAAATAATCAGGATTTAAATTATACCTGTTAACAGTTATTTAGCTGTGGGGGACCTTTTTTTTCCATGTGGCTATGTGGTTTTTAAAACGTAGTGGGCAGCCGAGGATGCTCTTTAGTATATGAATTCCTCTTATACTCAAGGTAGCAAAAGGCTGAGCTTGTTTTCACTCACTTTTGTTTCCAGATCCCGGCCGGTGATTAACATTCAGAAAACCATCATAGTAACACCTAACAAAATTGATCTCCACCAGAAAACGTTCTGTGGGGCACCTAGTGGGATATGGTGAGAGTCTCTGCTGGATCCCTGTACTCCCTCCGGTCTCTGCTGTATGATGACCCTGTTACTCAGAGAAGCCACAGGGAAGGTTAAGACAGAAACGGGCAAAGGGAAGAAGAATCTTGTCTCATGAGTATATAATATTTTACTCATCACTGGCAGTGGCGGGATTTCGAGAACTGGGGAACACGTTGGGTTGTTTCTGCTTCAGTATGCGTCTTTTAAGAAATATGTGTTTGATTTTTATATACAGCCTCAAGGTTAAGGCCTGTTTTGAATATACTGCCAAACCCAAGGGTTACAATCCTTCAATAGGTAAGTACCTAGTACATTTAAAAATTACATAATTTCTGTCTGCATGTTGAAAATTCTGCATGAATAACAAAGAAATGAAACTGCAATGGCCAAAATGTGCCCGTAAATTCTTGTTCAAAGAATTAAGTGTATCTGTTACCTTCTCTTTCATCAGGAGGATGGAGCACAGGAGGGAAAAACTCTCAATTTGGTTCCCATCTGAATTTTCCAGAGCAGATGGTTGAGGACACAATGCCTTAGAAAAGTACTCATTTGCCGCCACAACCGCTTCTTCCATTACTGCCTTTGACAGCAGTGTAGAAAATTGGTTTGTGGTTGTAAGGTGGCACATGGTGGGTGGTGGTAGTAGAGGGGTGACTGCAGGGGCGGGAGCACTGCCCAGTTTGTCCCCTCCTTGCCCCTGGCCCCCCTCAGAGGCCTCTGGGGCCCAGAAAGCCCAAGCGGGTCCCCGCGTGCAGGCCCCTGGGGGGATTTGAAGGCTGGCCAGGGCATTCAGAGACTTGGGCTCTGCCTTGGGTTCCAGCTTTGATGCTGATTGGCCCTACAACACAGAGCAAGCCCCTTAACACTTGGGTTTTTATATTCCCATCAGTTAAGAAAACAATTCCTCTACTAGGAATTACCATATAGAGTTGTGGTAGAGATCATATGATAATGTGGGGAAAGCAGTGTGTCATTTATTTGTAAGGCATTCTTCTTCCTGTCTACTCATCCAGACAGGATTTTTGAGAGAGAATGGTGCTCCAACAGTAGTGCTTATCCCCACGGCCACCTCTGGTAGGTTTTAGTGGCAGTCATAACCCTTGCAGGTGTAAGCTGCCTGCTCCAGAGTGATGCCGTGGGCAGAACATCTTTTCCCCAAGAAGGAGGTACAAAGAGTGAGGGTGCTTCTGTGTTGGGCCAGGGCCCCGGTGGCTTGGCATTCTGGTACGGCACCCCCGCAGTGGAGGCTTTCTGGAAGGATGGGATGGTTCTGTCCTCCTAGTTTTCAGTGTTTGCTCCACCTTGATGCAGTGAGTTCTCTTAAGGTTTCTCCTTGTTGCCTAAAGTATTACTTGGTTTTCTCTATTAAAAAGGCATCCCTTTTAAACATCCCAGAATTGCGTGTCTCCCTTCACCCAGTTAACACTGTCATAGGGCTGTTTATCCCCCAACCTTCCAGATGTAAGCTGTCCTCACGCCGTTTCTTCATCTCCCTGACCTTTTTAGGCTCTTGCTTGGCCATCTGCTGCGTCACGTCCCTGTGGGGTCTGCAGTCTTGCAGGAAGAAGGCTTGGTGTCGGTGTATTAGGCCTCTGTGCTCAGGGTGGGGGGTGGGGGGTGGCCTTACACTCTGCTTTTTGATGTGGCTTGTGTTTTATTGAGTATAGAAAGCCATTGTTTGTGTGACTCAATGACAAGAAAACGTCCTCCATGATTTCTCACCTCTGTTATCCCTTTAGTATCGTTTGTGTGGTTTTTACTCAAATGTAGTGCCTTACATTTGCCTGCTTGGATGGCAGGCCTTGTATCATTGTGTGGACCATTTGGAGGTAGACTAGAGGCAAGGAGAAAGTGATTCTTTGACTAGGCAAGGAGAGGAAATGGAAAAACACTTTTATTCTGTTAGTTTGTCATTTTTCCAACCACTCTCAGTTTGACTGTAAATGTGAAATCTCATCCAAGCGCTCCTTGTCTTCCCCCAAATCAATCATTTATTTAAAATAAATTACTTTTTCTAGCTTCAGTGTGGCATTTGACACCATGTATATTAATTTTATATCCATTAACCAAGTGTTTATTGATAGCCTATTATAGATAGAACTTTTTTCTCTGAATACATTTAGATTAAAAACTTTTTCATTGCTTGTATTTTCATGATATTAGGAAATTTTAAATCAAACACTTCTACAAAATTGCCTAAGTTAATACATCTAAAGTCTGTTCCTGGTGTGTGAGAATGTGAGCTTATTGTTTGACCAGGCTGTTTAACTCAGCAGTCCTCAGATATGGTGTTCCACATATACAGATATTTATAATTGAGCCTTAATTGAGTATTCTACTTGGCTTGCCTCTCAAAAGGTCAGCAAAGGTGGCCTGCAAGGATTTTAAGATGATGTGAACTGTCTGGAGGGTTAGGGAAGGTTAGAGTGGGTTTGGTAGATAAACGGTTTTAATGAGCCCATACCCTCCCCTGCTTTGGCTGTTAGGGGCACTCAGCATGTGAGCCTGTCTGACTCATTGTGAAGTTAGCAGGTCACTAATAAATGGATGAAGTCAAGGCTACAGAGGGCCTACAATGGAGGCCCATTCCATTTGGCAGAAATTACAATCAAAACTGTCAGTGTTTCTAAATTTTCATCTTACATATATGAATAGCTATTGTTTCATCATGAGAATAACATCATATCTGTGTGTGTGTGTACAAACATATTTGTGTGTAGTGTGTGTGCTGGTGTGGTACCTGTTATTCCTGCTCCTGTCCATCTATTCTGCAAGTCACATTGTATGAAGTATTGTGCCATTGCTGGGGAGTAAGTGGCAAGTGGATGCATGTGGTCCCTGGCCAGACTTTGCCTGGGGACGATGGTCAGGCAGTTACAGTGCAGTGGGCCAAGTAGTGGCTGAGACATAGAATATTGTCAGGTCTTCCAGGAGGGGCCAGGAAAGGCTTCCTGGAGGAAGTGAAGTCCATGCTGAGATCTGAAGCTGTAGGTTAGCCAGGCCATCAGGGAAGGTGGAAGAGGTGGGGACCCACTGGCAGAGGAAGAGAGCAGCTCACGGCCTAGAGGAAGTGGGAAGCTGACATCTAAGAGGCTTTATAAAGCAGATGTCTTTTGTGTTTCTCACAGAGACTTAGAAGGTGGTGCTGCCTCTTTCCTTCACTGTATGACCCTGCACCAGTCACCCAGCTCTGTGGCTTTCCATTCCCTTATCTGCAAGAAGAGAGTATTAGAAACTCTGGAAAAGTCTCTTAGAAACTCTACTGTGAATATTAGAACATGGATTTTTCACTTTCTGCATGTCTGGGGGTATGTCCCTTGAGGCCTGCCTTCTCTGGCCCTGCACATGCCATGGTTTGCTCCCCTCTGATGGTCAGTGAGTTGATGCATGCATGTGAGTGATTTAAGTACTGGCCTGTAAAGAAACATAGCAGCTACATTCAGCAGAACAGCAAAGAGCGCATTTTGAGGGCAGGAAATGAGATTGTAATCATCCAACCCCTGGCTTGCCTCTGGGCTCCATGGATATAGATGATCACGAGCAGGCTATGCCTTCTAGGGCTTGGGAGGTGAGGAACTCTGGCTGTCGGAGCTCGCTTAGCCAATAAATGGGCCCTTTAGCCTCTGGGAGGAATATGTTCTACCTTTGAATTATTATTATTCTAAGTGAGAAGTCTCATTTTATCGTCAAAAGACTCCTCTGTCTCTCATAAATATCATTCCTCTTAGATAACTATCCTTTATTAGTGCTTCTTAAACTTCAGTGTGTCTAAGAACCACTTGATGATCCTGTTAAAATGCAGGTTCTGGTTAAGTAGGTCAGGCTGGGGCCTGAGGTTCTGTATTGCTGACAGACCTCAGGAGACACTGCTGCTGCTGGTCTGGAGGTCTTTTTTCTGAATATCCAGGTGCTAGAGCATTTAAGCCTGGGACTGTTGAATGGGGAAGTGTTTTAGGCTTTTAGTGGGTGTTGAATCCCCTTGTCTTATCTTTAGTCCTGAGTTCTTACAGTTTAGCCAGAGACTGATTCTTATTTTGACTTACTCTCGAGCTCCCCCAGGTGGCCCAATGGAAATTTAACTTTAAAACACTGTTAACAGTAACAGGCTGGAAAGGACAGCTTGATTTGAAACTTCATAAATCAGTCAAAATGTACATTACAAGGAGATAGGAGGAGAAACAATGGCAGTGGGAAAAACTGTTCTGCAAGGAACTAAGATATTTTAAAAAGGAACTCACCATACTTTTGGCTGACCTGTGCATGAATGTGCTTTAAGTTCATTTGATTTTGTTCATTTTATTTAGCCATTCTGGGCACAGTGGAAGCTGAAAAGGAAAGAAGAAAATCTGGGTTATCATCAAGAGTTCATTTTCGAAACCAAGGTTCTGAGGCCAAGTATACTCAAGAGCTAACTCTGAATATGCAGCAGCAGAAGGCATGCATGGAGGAAATGCTCTGGCTACAGGTGAGGGCTGCAGACAAGTCAAAGCAGTTTTTTAAAGGGAACCCAAAGTTAGGTGTTATGGTGGCATATGTAGATTCCTGAAATTTATACAAGCAACCCATTTTTCAATACAAAATAAAAAATTCTCTTGGAGTTCCCCAATAGCATTTATACCATGCTTAACTATCTCTACATACTTTTCAGGAAAATATCAGAGATAAACTGCGTCCCATTCCCATAACTGCTTCAGCAGAGATCCGAGAGCCTAACACTCGGAGGCGAGTGAATTCACTTCCAGAAGTTCTTCCAATTCTGAATGCAAATGAACCCAAGACAGTACATATGGATGTGAGTCTTTCTGTGTTTTACCAAAGCTTTTGTTATATTATTCTGCTAAATCAAATGTCTTTGAAGGCAACAAAACTTATGATTTGCTTTAAAAAGGCCATTCCTCTGTATTAAATATATTTCCATATTCTTCACTAATTTGGGAGATGTGTCCCAAATTAGCGAGGAATATGGAAATATAGGGAATACGATTTGGAGCCAGAAAGTGTTTTTCCTCATAGTTTTTGGCCACTGCAACGTATTGAAACTATAATTAGTAGAACTTACTATCCTTACATCAAGTTTCTCCTATAGCTGTATATAGAAAGAACACATTGTCTTTTACCATTGAGAACATTAAAATGTAGGAAACAAACTGTTAGTTTGATCATTAAAATCAAGGAATATCAAAATTCAGTAAGGCAAAAAAGGATTAGCAATGAAATAGTCATGTAGTGCCTCATGTAGCCTAGGTAATCTTAGGAAGAAAAATCTTTATTATATGGCTTGCTGTGTGTACCTCATATGAGATGGGGTCTGTTTGCTAGAGTTCAGGATGGTTGAGATGCAAGATGAGGGTGGGGAGCTGTGACGTCTTGATCTGGCATTAAGTACTTGCTGTTAAAGTCCAGTTGGTGCTAGAGTGCCGGTTCTGGGGCTTCTGGTTCTCGTGGCCCACTGAAGCAGCTTTTTGGAAGTGAGTACTAGATGCATTAGGCTTAGGGTCTGAGACCTAAATCTGTACATTGTCACCAATAAAGTTCCTTATACTTTTGTATACTTTTTAAATTATACTTTTGATGTTATCCCATTAACATATCTTATGTATGTTTCCAGCTCTGTGTTCATCCTCCTAAGTCTGTTGTGAGGATTAAATGAGTTAAAATACATACTCCTGTGTTAGGTAGCACCCTTCTTATTACTGGCAGTTCTATAGTAGCCCTATACAGTAGGGTGGTGACATGCCCATATTCCCTATGGCGAAACTTAGACTCTGAAAGATTAAGTGACTTGCCCAAAGGCGTGCAGCTACGTGAGTGGCAGAGCCAGGTTTGGAGCCAGGTCTGTGTGGCCTCAGGGCCCCCACTGTACTGCACAGCATCTCCGTGCCCTGGTCAAAGTGTTCTTAAAACAGTTCCATTAAAGGGTAGAGTGGGCATTAAAGGAAATGGTAAAGTATGTTTGAAGCTTGAATTCTGCTACGGTAATTGTTACTCAGGGAAACGAATGGTATGGGATCAGCCAGACCCCTGTGTGGAGTCCTAAACGGCCTAAACTACACTGGTTTTGTCTTCCTACAGGTGCACTTCTTAAAGGAGGGGTGTGGAGAGGACAGTGTGTGCAACAGCAACCTTAAACTAGAATACAAATTCTGTACCCGAGAAGGAAATCAAGACAAATTTTCTTACTTACCAGTGTAAGAATCGCTCTGTAGTACCAGCAAGAAGGTCTGGCTTTGCAGTGACTTTTTGTTAAGAAAGGGTTACTGAAAATGTATTGAGGACTTTGGTTTTGTTTTTTGCTTTCTTATAGTCAAAAAGGTGTGCCAGAACTAGTTCTAAAAGATCAGAAGGACATTGCTTTAGAAATAACAGTGACAAACAGCCCTTCTGATCCGAGGAATCCCACGGAAGATGGTGATGACGCTCATGAAGCCAAGCTTCTTGCAACTTTTCCAAACACTTTGACTTACTCTGCATACAGAGAGCTGAGGGCTTTCCCTGTACGTATTTTTAGAGACCAGCTGGGTGGAGAAAACCAACACTGTGTGGCAAATGAATGTATTGTGACCTAATGTGTTTTTCTGTTACAGGAGAAACAGTTGAGTTGTGTGGCCAACCAAAACGGCTCACAAGCCGACTGTGAGCTTGGAAATCCTTTTAAAAGAAATTCCAATGTAGGTGATGTCTTCACATACTGTGCTTTACTGTTTAAATACCATTACATTATAGATATGCTTGGCCTGTGTTGACAGCTATTTCTATTTTTTAGGTTACTTTTTATTTGATTTTAAGTACAACGAAGGTCACCTTTGACACCACAGATCTGGATATTAATCTGAAGTTGGAAACGTAAGGGTTATTTCAACCTTTCCATTCAGTTATTTCATGAAAACACAGCCAGTCAATGAATTGGCCTCAATCTAATTCATAAAGCAAGTTTAATTGTAATGAGAAAACTGACTGTTAAAATAAAACCCTATTGTTTCCTTTTTCATCTTAAGAACAAGCAATCAAGATAATTTGGCCTCAATTACAGCTACAGCAAAAGTGGTTATTGAACTGCTTTTATCGGTCTCCGGGTAAGTGTTGTGTTTAGCATAACAAATCAGTGTTTGAAAGAATCATTTACAATCCTCACTAAAACTGGTGTTTTTTAATTTAACAGAGTTGCTAAGCCTTCTCAGGTGTATTTTGGAGGTACAGTTGTTGGTGAGAAAGCTATGAAATCTGAAGATGAAGTGGGAAGTTTAATAGAGTATGAGTTCAGGGTAAGTGGAGCAGTTGGTCCTTTTATTATATATACTGGAAGCTAACATATGCTATATAAAGTCTTGAATATATAATTTTAATAAAAGAAGTAATAATAATTAATAATAAATAAGCATGATAAATGCTCAGTTAAAAGTGAATTTACCAGTTTTTAAACAACCTACTGGCTTATAGTAAAACTTCCGTCCTCTGGGATGGAGAACAGCTGTCTTTCAATAGAGGATTTTGTTTAGAATCCTGTTCAGTTTGGTCTTTTTTTTAAATTAGAGTTTTAATGTACATGTGGTGTAGAGACAAGAAAATACTTGAGTTTTTTTCCCCCAGAGTTTGTCTATAAAACAAAAACCTCAATGTATGTTTGACTTTAGAATGTGTTATGACTTATTTCTCCCTCGATCAGAAGGTCATCTTACTGCTTACGGTAGTAAGAATTAAGGTTCACTTGCCTCTCGCAAGCCTGGCTGTGTGAGGGCGAGTGTGGCTGTGGCATATGACAGTCAGGAAGACCGATGTGGTGTTCACTGGGACTCTCAGTCCCGCTGAATGAACGTAAACGCATGGTATAGAGTTGGCTCATAACTCACACGTGGGTTTGCGGAACCACATTCCTGAAAGCATAGCGACCATCGTTGGAGAGAAAGTCTGAAGTGGCAAGAAGGCGCCTACCCCTCCCTCCATCCAGTAGGATGGAGCTCCCCTCTGTGTTTTTAGCATGACAGACACAGCAGTGACAGGTAGTGGTGGCAGTCACAGCACCTGGCAGGCATGGCTGGCGAAGTCGGGGGTTTCCAGAGCAGCCCTGCACACGAAGACACTCACATGTCTTCTGATTCTGCTCCAGGAGGTTGCTCCATCTCTAGCGTGGCCGTGGAGATTCCTGGCTGCCAGAATGGTTTTCCTCAGAGGCACTGCTCTTCGAAGCTTCCGCTGGGTAGTAGAGGACGGAGGCAGCTTCATTTTCGCGGCAGGTGGGGTTTCCTGGAGGCAGGTCACTGTGCAGCACAGGCCTTGCCAAGCAGGATGGTGTCAGAGCAGTTCGTATGTGTGGCTTTTCCCAGGGCATGTGGAGGGCATGGCACATCTGCATTGCCGATTCTCTTGCACCCAGCAGTTGTTCCTGGACTGAATGAGCAATCATTTCTCTTTGACCTTTTTTTTCCCTTTGTTTTTGACAGAAATCATTAGGTACAAATCTGTTTTGAATACCCTGTCTGTAGTCCATTTTTGGAGCCTGTACTTTTTATTGTGAGATTATGCCAGATACTTTGTTTTTTTTCCCTTGGCAGTGGGAGTTGCTACCTTTTACATTAAGAGAATTACACTGAGATAATATGTATTTTTTTCTAACAGGTAATTAACTTAGGTAGACCTCTTAAAAATATCGGCACAGCATCTTTGAATATCCAGTGGCCAAAAGAAATTAGCAATGGCAAATGGTTGCTTTATTTGGTGAAAGTAGAATCCAAAGGATTGGAAAAGACAGCTTGTGAGCCACAAAGTGAAATAAACAGCCTGACCCTAAAGGTATGTTGGTGGGTTCATCTCATGTCTCCATGGATGTAAATAAGAAAAGCTGACTTTTGAGGGGGAAAGCAGTGCCTTACTCAGGAAACTGACTTCCCAGCACACTGGCTTTCCTTTGGCATCACAAAAACTTGCCTTCTGTAGTTGCGTAACCGAGTCAGGATGAGGATTTCTGCCGATCATTGACCATTAAGGCACATCAGTCAGAGTCCTTCAGTGCTTGCTGAAGCCATGGCCTTTTCTGGAGTTCTTTGTCCCAGGATGACACACAAGGAGGACCGGGATGTGCTGCTGGGGTAGGCCAGCCAATGTGAATTCCTGGTGGAACAAACCCATTATAAAAGATATTGATACCTTGAAAGCTTTTCATTCTTATTTTTTTAAATAGTAAATATTTATTGAGCATTTGCAGTGTCTTAGGCATTGTGCTAAGTAAGCACTGCTTGCATTTTCTCATTTCATTCTCTTGATAGTCCTCTGAGATATTTTTCTCTTCCCCACCGTTTCATAGATGAGGAAATTGAGATCCAGAGAGATTAACTTTCTTAGACTCACTCAGCAGTTAAGAGACAGAGTCTGTGTTCAAGCTCAGCTCTGCCTGCTTCAAAGCCTGTGCTCTAAATCCTTCTCTGTACTGCTCCACACCTGTGTGACTGGCTCATCAGTCATGCTCCAATTTGATAAAGATTTGCTGTCATGGCGTGTCTTTTTCTTTTATTTAAAATTCTAAGGTGACTGGGCATACCCAGTGTTCATAGTTGGTGGCTTCTAGAATGATCCTCTGTTCATCAACTTTAAAAAAACAAATGGTCCACTACTCCTTATTTTAAGGAAAATGCAGTTTTGAAACATCTTACATGGCCTAGTTTTCAGAATACTCCCTCGAGTAAGTCATATGCAAGCTCTTTTTGCTTCTTTCCCTGGTCTTTAGTGTCACTTATTTATTCAAGATGTACTGACTTGGGGCCATGTGTTAGGTCCTGAGCCAGGTGCCAGGGATGTGGGAAAGACACTAGAACCTTGGTCTCAGGACGCTCACGGTTTGGTGGGGAGACAGAAAAACAAAGAAAGCCTCTTTCTCTTTTCCTGAGTTTTAAGGTCAAAGTGTAAATAAATGATCTTAATAAACTTGCAGTAAGGTTGGTAATGACACTGCAGATTTTACACTTAAATTAGGTCTGCTCCCTTGGTGATGGGAAAGGGGAGATGTTAATTGTCCCTTGTGTAAATTTGGTGTTACTGGGGAGGGTGTGCCTGAGAGGCTTGTACAGTAGTGTCAAAGAATCGCATTACATGAAACTACTTTGGATATAATTCTTTTTAGGAGTTTCACAGCTCAAGAAAGAAGCGGGAAATTGCTGAAAAACAGATAGATGATAGCAGAAAATTTTCCTTATTTTCTGAAAGAAAATACCAGACCCTTGTAAGTATTTTTCAAGAGTTGTGAATATTTTGAGAGGATGGGAGGAAGGTCCCCCTCAGACTATTGCACTTACTTCCGCCTCCTCTTTCTCCAGAACTGCAGCGTGAACGTGAACTGTGTGAACATCAGCTGCCCACTGCGAGGGCTGGACAGCAAGGCCTCCGTGCTTTTGCGCTCAAGGCTATGGAATGGCACGTTTCTAGAGGTGTGGCCCTGCCCTGAGGCTGTCCCCTAGAAGTCACTTGCCACCTTCTAGGACATTTCTTACTTCTCTAATACATTCAACAACTTTGTCTCCAAACAGGAATATTCCAAAATGAACTACTTGGACATCCTTGTGCGGGCTTCCATTGATGTAACTGCTGCCACTGAGAATATCAAGCTGCCAAATGCAGGCACCCAGGTGAGAGGTTGCCGGGTCTTCATTCAGTTCAGAGCAAATCACTCTTCCCTCTGCCCCAGGGCCTGCAGACAGGCTACTTGGCATTCATTTCCCTCACAGCACTGTTACCCCCTTGAAGGGAAATTAGATAGTGGCTTATGGTGCTGCCACCCCAAGCTGTGTTTTAATCAAAGCATTAAAAAAGAAGTGAATCTAGGCTTACCTAGTTGTGCAGTGCACATGGTAATTTGAGAGCTATTGGCTCCATGAAAGAATGCATGTACCTCCCAACTGTATGGGCACTCCATGTCTTACACTCTCCCTGATGCTGTAGCGTCTGTTGGAATTCAGATGTAGTGCCCCCAAGGATGGTATCTTTGCTGCAATATTAGGTAGCTCATGGCATGTGTGGCCAGCTGCAATTATTAGAAAAGATCTCTTCGTATACGAATCCAGAATTCAGTCTTACAAACTCAATCCCTGGTTATGCCTGTGAGAACAAGTCCAAAATATGTCCCATGTCTTGGCCATGTAGCAGTCTTTGACATAATGGAAGTAAACTGCCGTGCTTCCTTGGACATGTCTTTCCTGTTTTCTGCAGAGCTAAACATCCAGGTCTTCAGTTATCTGCCATGCCAAGAGAGCAAAGCTGAACTGGTTCCAGCCTCTCACCTTACTGGGCCACCCCTGTCCAGGCATGACTCCCAGGGGGGGACAGAGAGCTAACATGTGATCTGCCTAGTTCAGCTCACCCAGAGGCCATTGCCTAACAGTGTCTCAGCCCCACATTGTTGTCAGTCCAGCCTAAAATTTGTTTTTTAAATGTTTGCTGAGAATTGTGTTTGCATTTTTAGAAGTTACTATTTTTGTGTTTGTGTCCTGCTGAAACTTGGGAGTGTTTCATCACAGTTTGTTGTCAAGATATCCTTGAGCAATTTTTAAAAATCTTAATTCATGCCATTAAGTGTATCCTCACATGTTATGTGATTTGCTTTTGGTTGTTTCTGTTTACAGTTATTCTGAGTCTTCATCATTTGCCTTCTCTTTAACTTTTTATCCTTACAATAATAGGCTTTATCTTTTTTCAAAACTGAGAAATGTGCCTTCTATGTCATCAAGGTAATAAAAAAAATATTGAACAGGCCTAGGAATGAAAGCTTGTGGTGGTAGTGAGGAGTGCCTTGTTGGGGGTCTGGAACCTAGGGGTCTCATATCAAGCTCATGAGGTAAAACTAAAATGACTGCATGTCACAGATCAGAACGTTTTGCAAAAGAAACTGAGTGGAGATGAAAGACTGTGAATTATAGTTGCTGTGTTGAAATTGATCTGCTGATCTGATCTGCTTATGGAAATATTCTGGTTTTAGTTGTTTAGTCAGCTGAAATTCAGTGAGTCTCCTCGGTCACTCTGAAACCTAATGACCCTTAACTGTTACAGTTTATCATCTGAACCAGAATAAATTTGGGGCAAATGCTAAACTGGTGGGATGCTGAGACAAGTGGTGTAAACCAGGACTGTCCCAGGCTCAACAGGACATATGGTCACCCTGGCCTTATATCATTTCTGCATGTTACTCCAGCCCACCTTTCTACTATCAATAGGGCTTCATAAAGTAGGAGCCTATTAACTTCTAACTAAACCACAACCTCCCTGAGACTCCTTTCTGTGCCTCTCCCACTGAAGACAGCTGCTATGGCTTTCAGTAACTATGTCAGCAGCCTTGAGAATCACTGAGTTTTTAGAGCTGGAAAGGGAATAAACACTTTAGAGGGAAGGGACTAATATTAACAAAGCATTGATAAGTGTACAGTTTACTAGCCATTTTACCTATGTGCTCTCATTTCAACCTGAGAAAAATGTCAAGGTAGACACTATTTTTTTTTTTCACAAAAAAGGAAGCTATGGAGAGGGATGTCATTTGGGGTCCTGAATTGAAACCTGTGGCAGTCTGATTTCAGGGCTCCTGTTCTTTGACTGTATAATACTTGCTCTCCATTAAGTCCCCAAATCTTAAATTCAGATGAGCAAACTGAGTCCAAGGAAGTTCCTCCCTCTCAGGGCCACAGGGCCACGCAGACAAAAGACCAGGCCTTGTTTTCTGGAAGATGACGGAACAAGCGCCCTGGCATCCAGTCTGGTGACTGGGCCACAAACGACAGTGAGGTTCTCTTGGGCATTTCTTAGGACTTGGAGAACTCATGCCTGCTAAGTGGGAATTGGAATCTTTGCTGTGATTCTACTTGATCTAGTAACTGGTAGGTTTGTGAATGGATTGCTGGTGTCATATCTTAAGAAGCCATTTCTTTTGAAAACTGAAATATTTTTCTCTAGTCTTCTGATAGCTCTTTAGGTAACAGTGATTTCTGAGATACAGTAGCTGTCATCTACACATTTCTTTAGTGTTTTAAGGTACAGTTCTTCTGGGCCTACAGATTTGTACTGAATTCAAGTGTCAGGGGACCTTTTTTATTCCCTCACTTATTGTTGTTTTCAGTCTCACCTTTATGTTGGTTCATTTTTCTTTGCAGATAGAGGCAAAGGAGGTTGAGTAGTTCAGTTTTGTCTTTTGGTCTTAATATTGAAGCTGCTGCTTTTTATTCTAATTCTAACTTAAAAAAGAAGAACCCCTTCTTGTTTCCTTATAACTCAGTTTAAGGAGCTTTGTGTTCATCTCTTAATAAAACACCATGAAGATATTAGTGTAACAAAGTCAGAGAAGTTCACCTAACTGAACCAATAACATGGTTATGTTTTAGCATCAATTAAATTCAGTCTGTCCAGTTAAAAAGCACTTATTAAGGGCACACTGTGTACCTTCCATGCACAAATGCTAGAGAAGCAAAGTTGAATAAGATACAGAATCAGTTATTGAGAATTTCATGGCTAGATGATAGTGAAACGAAGAGAGAATTGTTGACTTAAGCCAAGGAAGGAGGGGATCATTTATTGCTTGTATTTATATACCCCCACTTCATTCCTAAGGAAATAGGAAGAGACTACCTAAGCATCCTGGCTGCCAAAGATAAAAGAAAATATAGTAGATAAAAGCAGGCACATTATTCATTCTTCAGGGGAATAAGGAGTTTCTTGTTTGTTTGATTTTGGTTCTAAATTCAGAGAACTTGAAATGTGGATCCTTTTATAAGATGGATTTTTGGTATGAGGAACAGTAAGGGGATAGTCTAATAGAGTTCTATAAAAGATCTGAAAATGCCTTCATCAGATCTCTTATACTGATGCTCTGATGAGAGTGGAGGGTATTATGTTACAGAATGATATGGGGAAATGATTTTGGCAGTGGACAAGCTAATGTGGTCTTAGCCCTGTTCACTGGTGGTGGAATTTAATGCATTAGGTGCACATAAGCCCTTTTCCCTCTTATGGGCACATGATGGATGAGGTTCACATGGACAGGTCATTCCTCTGGAAATGCCTGATTTTAATGAAACAAGCAAAAAAATGTTTTTGGAGTAATTTCTGCTCACCTTAACCTGTAACACCTGCAGTGACAAGACGGACAGGGCTTCCCAGAGCTCTGGAAACTGAAGCACACAGTTGGTCTCCCCTTACCCAGTTCTAAGGCCAGCTTCCCACTTACTCCGAATTCCAGCTAGAGAATGACTGTCCTACAGAAACAAACAATGAAATCTTGCTGACTGGCCTCCCTGGGCCTGTCTGTACTGCATGTGACCTTGCACATACACTGGTTTGCAGAGCCCCTCTGCCCTTAAATGTGTGGCCCAACCTGCACTTCAGTCCTCCAAGTTTGATGCCCAGTGGGTTTTACAATTTCTTAAAGGCTCCAAGATTGGGTTTGAATGGTAGCCACACCTGGCTTACAGCTGTCAGCTGGGTTCCCACCCACACCCTCCATCCCATCGTACCCCATTACATTGATCAGGTGTTTTGCTTAGCAGCAGCCATTCTGGGAAGTCATTTCCCCCTCCTGTCAGCCATTTAAAAGGCTCTGATACACAGTGTGATTATAAGGCTGATTCCCCCTGCCACAGACCAGTCTCCATGATCAACTTCCAAATTTATTAAGAACTTACTCTTAAAGATCAGGATGGCCCTTCCAGGCTGTCGCCTTTCCCCCAAGAACCATCAAGTGCCATGCCTGGGCTAGCAAATTTAAATGACACAGCCTGGGCTCATTGAAATAATCTCTTGGTTTTGCTTTAGAGTAGTCAAGCTTGCCAGTCACATCAACTCCATTATTTCTTCCCTGGTCTCTCACCATTCTCTTTTCCCTGCTTCATGGATACTCCTGTGCTGTGACTAGTAATCTCAAGAAAGGGTTGTTTTAGTTCCCAGCTGGGACACTTGGCCAGGGGACTGGCTGTGAGAGTACGTGAGCCATGGGGCTCCTCTAGGGCTGGGAACCTTGGGGGAAAGAAACCTCAGAGAGCATAACAGGAAGCAGAGTAGCTGCCAGAGGTGTTTGTGCCTGCCTGTTACAGTCACTACAACAGGATGAAGATTCTAAATGTGAATTCGTTCCTATTTAAGTGGTTGAAGAACAGCAGTTCTCTTTATGTATATTCTGTAAGTCTTGAGAAGCTGTTTTCTAGTGTAAGTAGAAAGGGAAGTATTTTAACGAGATTTTTAAAAAGAATTATGGAAGTATTGAAGCACAGTGTAGACATAGCAGCATTTTTAGGTAGCATTGAGTTCACTAATGTAGACTACTTGACTACAAACACTTCTCAGAAGTTAAATGCTCTCTTTAAGTTTTGCTTATCCATCACTTTACATTCTCATAATTCAGAAATATCAGAAACTTCAAACTGGTAGATCTCTAATCAGTGTAGCTTACAAAATTATATTAGTAGAAATCACCAGGTCTCTTACATGCTTTGAAAAGTAGTCTCCTGGCATCACAGAAATCCACTTGAATTCTAAGCCTGTATAACCAACTTTTTGTGCATAGTCATAAGCAACTTTTTAGATTTCATTTCTATTTAATTGGTATTTGCCAACTATCAAATGTTTAGAGCTTAAGCTTCTCATCAGCTGCTGC